TTTTTTGAAAGAGAGAGTATATACGCTCGCCTTCCAAATAACCAGAAATTGTGCAATTGCAGAAATTGACGGCATGCACGTGGCTAAATTCTCGATGAAAAGGTGACATCACGTGTGCTCAAAGATGTTCTTGAATCGATGCCACGTTAATGCCACGTCAATTTCTGCAATTGCACAATTTCTGGTCATTTGAAGGCGAGGGTACACCCGACCAGGAGCCAACCCAATCAGCTCTTGTGGACTCCACCCGATTTCACGAACAAGTCAGCGACATCTATTTGAGGTTATGGGACGATTCTGAACCCTGGATGGGACGAGAGTTCGCTCCGTTGCTGATCTCCCAAGCGCTCCAATCTCACCTGCCTCATCCGACTATTCCGAAAGTTTCCCCATCTACCAGACGTTGGCCCGTCCTTCGTCCGCGAACGATGACGACCATTCGCATTCGCATGCGCACATTCTACAGCTGTCGTTTAGCGCACTTAATGCGATGCCAATGAAAGTTTTCGGGGCATTTCGCCCGCTCGGCGACCGCCTCGTTCTTTTCATCTGCGCCGCCGCTGCCGCCGCGGCACGCCTTTGAAGCGGTCGCGAGCGTCCGCGTCGCGGCGTCGGCAACTTCAAAGCGCCACCGCAAGGGCGTCGCGGCTCTCTCAGCCAGCCATTATCCCCGTCGGGCCGCCGTCACTTCCCGTCTCCGCACACCGACAAGTTCACATTCAACAACTCCCACACTCGGTTTCCACACCGGTCGTGTCCTCCCGTCATCATTTTCTGCAAGTCGTGCTCAGATGTCGCCGAGCTTCGGTGAAATCTTATTCCATTTCTTACCTATTGTGCTCGTTTCTATTGCACGTATTCTCCCAGCAATTCAAGGTTTGCATGGATGAGGTGAGGCCTCAGTGGTCGGCCAGGCAGCTCATGAATTACCCCTCATTATCCTCAACTGACACCCGCTCTAGCACCTTTTGCACGTACAGAATCGCTCAAAATCGTTATAAGTACAGAAAAGTATGCAGGTTATCACTGCTGGATATCGGATAAATTCTGGGTAATGGGTCGTTAGAGCACCACCTCGAGTTCTTTAAGAAAGTGGGTTGTGCTTCTTGCTGAAGCCGTACCATTTCAGCGCTACATTTACTAATTTCTTTTATTTTCTCAACCCTTACTCACTGATGAGCCTCGGAGTTGACGGAATACAGTGGTTCCCTCTGAGTAAAAGGCAAAACGGGCCACTTGAAAACTTTTACACAACACCCATTAACATAACTTCACTTCTTTCTGTATTGGGCTCTTTCGCGGCATCTTGTAAAATTGAAATTTTCCATGCAATTTATTTGGACTTCAGGGCGCAAACACACCTTGCGTAAAAGCCGTCAACCCTAACCTGTTGAGCCTCGGAGTTGACGGAATACAGTGGTTCCTCTGAGTAAAAAGCAAAACGGGCCACTTGAAAACTTTTACACAACACCCATTAACATAACTTCACTTCTTTCTGTATTGGGCTCTTTCGCGGCATCTTGTAAAATTGAAATTCATCTCTTCTAAAATAAATTAAAATTAACATTTGAACCTCAGGCCCAAATACTTTCTGCGTAAGAAATAAATATCAATTGTCCCTATTAAGAATGTAATATTCAAAACGATTTTGGAATATGAGGATGTGCCATCGCAATATACGGGGCATCCTCTAGGACCAAGGCTTAGGAGCAAAGGAGAGAATGAAAATTGCTCAGTCACCCTAGAGCCTCTTGTCGCCCGCCTGGAGCTTAGTCCCGATTTTCAACAAAAAGATGTGATTTAACACGATTTTAAATGCCCCCATATCTTGTGATAGCGCTATAAACAAGTTCATTGGAAATAGGCGATGAACACTTCAAAGATTCTTGAAGAAAACGCTGTAGTTGCTTGTAGATGATTTTGATGCACACCTCAGTAATTGAGCGTCCGATGAACTTTCATTTTATGATGCGCTACAAATTCGACTTGAATATTCACTACTTTAGTCGTGGAGACTATTATTTGCAGGGAAAGGTATAAAATTTTACCATCAGTTCGCGGCAAGATGCCACCGTCCCCGTTTCACCTTGAAATTTTGAGAAGTTAATAAACCGACAATTGAAGCTGTGCCAAGACCAGGAAAGTCCCCTGAAATGAAGGGTTCCCTTTCGACGAAAAATTGAACTAAAGAGAGTTATTCACAAATTTCATTGGTAGCTCCTATTAAAGTAGCTTTCTTTAGTTGATTTTCTCAAATGTGAAGTAGTTGCGGAAAATTTTGGACGTAACCTGAATACTACAAGTTCTGTTTGTGCCAATGTAAACATCCTCTCGCGGTTTCCCTTTGATTGCAAGGCTAAAAACCGTGTTCAGTAGGTTATTGCCTAGTCAGACAACTTGGGAATTGAGAAACGGCAGTAATTCCTCAGTCTTGGAATTTGAATTAAGGTCCAGTTCGAAGGACTTATTTTTTGGCTGTTCACGCTGTAACAAGGTTTAGGGCTACCCTACTGCTGTTTTTTCTTTTGCTCACAAAACTTGGAAAATCGGCTGCTTCAGTGCTTCTTTTAGAGACCACTCGTTTCAGGGACTATTTGCGTTGAGCTTTCCAAAGCACTAGAATACTTAGCTGTTATCGTACTTTCGGGTCATTCTCTCAAGTCTGTGCTTGGATTTCTCGTTAATCCGAATTCAATTAGTGCTTCTGTGCTTGCTTCGATGCATAAGGAAGAAGCTTCATTTTTTTCATATATTCTTATTGAAAACACTTTTATATTCTTTATTTTGCTCCTTGCTCTGAGGCGGATTTGATATGTGACTCAGTTCAAAAAGTGTGAGGATTTATTCTCCTGTGTGGCACACAAACAAAAAACAACTGTGAGGATTTGCTTTTTGGGGAATTTCCGTTCGCTACTTTGTCACGTTTCGTATCACAGGCAGTGAATTGGAATCTTTAAAAATACGTGTGAAGGCGTCCCTCGCATTTGGCTGTTTTACTGTTTTACTGCGCCGCGATTCACAACGCAAACTTGTTTTCTCGGAACATTGCTCTCATTCCTTCATCGGTATGGCTCTTCGTCAGCACTCCTTGCTCAATCCGATGAAATTTGCTTTCCTTTTCTCATTTCGTTTCTATCCTGGTTTTGGTAACATTGATAGGCTTTTGTTACGCCTTCTCGCCACTCAAGACTTCATCGATTGATTGGCAGCGCTGCAAAAGTTTTTTATTCTTCAGGATGCCCTCGGAATGGGATCGGCCCCATATGCGCTGGACGCTTCGGCTCGAGTACGTTCTATCGGATCGTACTGCGCTCGATGCTTTCCGAGACTGGCTTGTCGCCAATTCGAATCCTCAGGTATGCTATCGTCTGCGCCCATTTTGGGTTTTTACTGAAATTTACTCTTTCTCAATACTAAACATAATAGTGATTTGAAATAGGTTATGCGCTTGTAAAATAGACCGAGAGGGTCGTATTTTTTAAATTTTGCATTGACCTGTAAATTCCAGTGAGTGAATTGCGCTCGCTTTCGCGCTGAATGAATTTTCATACCCACTGGCGCTTTTGAATTAGATGGCTTAACGCCTTCGGATGGGTGGCTAAGAAGGGATAGTCTTATAGATAGAGAAATCGAAAGGGGATCAATCAGTAGGTGAAATCACATCATCTATTTTAATTCAGTAATCTTGTTCTGACTTTTTTAAGCGATCGAGCTGTGGGAAACTATTTCTCCTAGTAGGAAAAGAGGTCGAAGTGGCTAGATGATTCGAATCTGCTTTATTAATCTGTCAGTCGGTTTCTGAACAGATTATGAAGCAATAGAGCGGCGGTACTCTCGGGAGACAGGCGAGAGGTCGTGGTGGTCCCTGACTGGTGTGGCTACAAATTTGCCGCTAGGGGTATGTCGGAACACGAATATTTACACCTGTATGCTGCATAAACGTCTGTCAAAGTGCCTGCATGCTTTCTGTGCAGTCGTTAACAAGCCACGCCCAATTTGTTAGGAACTCTTTGTGTGGGTAACTATAGGTAAGCGTTTATCAAGTGACGTAGTCGGAAGACTTTTCTAACCTTGTATGCGAGGGCAGAGAAGTGGTCTGTGAATCGATCCTACGACCTCTCGTCATGAGCCCGAACCACTACCGCTGCTTTATTTTGCTTCAGAACTCCCTAGAGAGCAGATTAGATAGCAGAAGCCAAAAAACATTCGCCAGATCAGACATAAGTCTTAATTGTATAGGTCCACTTGGACCATACCTCCTGGCTTGGTTAGGGTGCTGCGCTAATGCCATCAGTTTCTTGAATTACAGTTTTACAATCTCTGTCGACTAGCTTTGGACTGAAGGATATCAGTAATACCGCTGAATTCATGACGTCCCATTCAGTCTCTTTGGCTTGATGTGCCGCTGCGAATGACATTGACGTTGCCCTTCATGCAGCCTCAATAAAATCGTATACATTGCGCGGTCTCTCACAATGAGTTATAAAGATGTTCCACTCTCTACTTGTGTTGATCTATTCGTAACTTTATTAGGGTGCTCGATATGTTGGCACAAAACAATGTGGACTTTTAGCCCCTGGAGCTGCACTTCGCAGTACTCGCGTACGACCGAATGTCAGCTCAACGAAACGCCCAAACAGCTGAATTGGCTCGATCGATCTACCAACAAATATAAATTCTCTTCGAACGGCTTCCTGTTGTTTAGCTTTATCCCTCACAAAATTCGACAAGAGGTACGTTTTTGATATTTTAAGACGAGGTCATTATTTATCTCATTGTTTGTAATCAACCTTCCAGTTGTATTGTGACGACTTTAATTATTCCTTTGAATGCTACCGTTACAGATCGGTACACGCCTGAAGTCACGCGGGTTCCGCGGTTTTCCTGACCCAAGATTATTCGCAGGTGTATTGCCATATCTTGACTCTTTTCTGCGTCAGCAGCACGAGCAATTCGTTTGTTCCGAGGAGTTTCTCGAAGCATTCAATAGGGTGAGAGCGGGGAAACTAGTTTATTTCACACTATCTATTATGCGCTTCATTAACTATTTTGATTTTCTCTTCTCTTTTTTGAGCATTCAGTGGGGAACACGTAGGAACTCTTTTCAATCGTTTCTCTCGGACTTTTACATGACAGTTAAAGCTCTATTGTGATTGCTATGAAGAGGGCATGCAATGATATCATATAAATTTTTTTTTGAATTGCATGCTCTAAAGCATTATTCCTTAGATAGCGAGGGCTCTCAGTTATGGGCTCAAGTTTTTGCCTCAACTTTCATGGTGAAACTGTTTTGCCGTCTTAATCGTGTGATGATTCTGCGCCTTCGGAATTGCTGACAAAAGAGCAGTAGCAAATGAAATAAACCAAAAATTCCATTCATATTCTCGAAGTTCCATTTTGAATAGAGTGGAATTATTCTGAAAACCTAGTAGGTAGGTTGGGGGAGGGGGGAAGGTGGTTGGGCGCATTTATAGGCTGGTGTCAGAGTCCGCGATCCGTCGCAAGTTTCGCTGATTTTCCTGAAACCTGCGACGGATCGCAAAAATTCCAAGTGCCCCTTTTGAACATTTAAACACTGAATATGAAACAAGTGGAATCTTGAGCATCAGTCGTCATTCAGCCATCACTATCAAGCAGAAGTGGCGGCAGGATTGGAGAACACCTTGCAGTATTGATCGGGCACTTGTGATTTCCGTGACCCGTCGCGTGAATCGCGAAAATCAGCGAAACCTGCGACGGATCGCGGACTCTGACACCAGCCTAGTCGTTGGTCGTGTCGTAACGACCGCATAGCATTGGATGCGTATCGATCGTCACACGTGTCCGAGGATCGGAGAATCGATACCTATCTAATGCTGCGCTATCGTTACGATCAGAAGACCGCCTATGAATGCGCTCTTGAGGTCATATAATAAGGAAGTTCTTAAAATAGCCTTTGTGGATAGAAGGTTCGGGTGGAAACTCCGCGTTACATTATCTGTGTGGTGATCTTGGTATGGATGGAGGTCTATAGAGTTTCTGAAAAATTATTTTCCGCGATGGTAAAATAATGGCCTTCACACGGTACTTACTCTGTATTATTTATTTAAGGTGAATATGAGCGAGGATTCCGGCGATTTTCCTACGGAACGACGACGATCAGCTACGAGTTCAAAGAAACCTCAGCTCACAGCAGAAACATTGATGAAATCGAGACATGATAGGGAGCATGTCCTAGGCGAAAGGTACAGTTTTCTTCTTGAAGTCTTTGGATAGTTGGTGGGTGAGAGCTTCAAAACCTTTAATCTTGTACATTGGCTCATGAGTGTTTCTTTAATCAGACTCAGATGGTTGAAAGCGTAGCGTATGTCATTCATGCAACGCATAGAATAACCATCAACAAAAAGGCTTTGCTTTTTTTCAGTTCCTTGGAAAAGATGTACCCTACATCGAGCATTCCTCGTCCCTATGTGTGCCATGCGACGACCAGCCAAAATGATAGCGCCGTATCGTCATCATTCTCATCCGACGCTAATGGACATCGACCTACAAGGTTCGGACAGTTCTTTTTTTCCTAGGCCGTCTTAATGGTTAGTCATATAGCATCTTATTTAGATTACGCAGCATTCGGGAGGAACACCTTCGAGGGAATCCCACGACGTTTGCAATCCCGGTCAGTCTATTCCTATAACATTACTGAAGGCTGAAAAATCTTCTCTACTTTGTTCATTCTATTTAAATTTTGAAATAATATCACTGTATTTCAGCGTGTTGAACATCATTCAAAAGGTGATACGATGCAATTTGATCATAACACCGAGGAAGGTATGCTGTGATTACTTTTTGCGATTTAAGCGTAAAATTGTAGAAACACCAATCCGAAGATAACGAAAGTTCGAATTTCAAAAATCTCCTGTAAAGTAGTCATGGTATTTAGGGAGGCGAATGTTTGCTGCTGTGCTGTGCAAGAAGCTGAATCGACTACAAGCGAGACGCGAACGAAACGATGAAACCGAACGACAACTGAGAGATATTGAAGATCGAAAGTGTACTGTATGTGTTCAAGTCATTTGTTTACTTTCGAGATGTATTTCTTTCTAAGCTGCCGTTTTACCTATTACTTCTTTAGACACGCGAGCTGATTTCAACTTCCGAAGCCGTTCATGATGTAGCATGTGATGACGATGATGATGTGGAGTGCTACCTAGAGCGAATGAGGGAAGACAGTCTGAAAGCCTCTGCAAATCGCTCACCGCGACTCAATGCCCTCTCACCAAGTAAGCGTTTCAATGCATCGAAATGCTCTTAGTTCGGTGAACCGCTTCTGCTAATTGCGTTTTTTGTGAGTACTTACCAGTAGCTATCAACCCACTCACACTTATGATCCTGTTGGGACCGGAAAAACTGAATAGTCAAGCAGATGTTACAGTTTTCGAAAAGAATATAACAAACAGGATCATTATGTAAATCAAACTCTGTAACAAGCATTGCAGTTGTTATCTTCTGTTGGGCTAGTAAATTGATCTAGTGTGGTGTAAATAGGTCAATACCTTGGGTCACTTTTAATCTTTCAGTTTCCGCCTCAGAATGTAGCTTTTGGATACTGCTTCAACATTTGCGATTAAAACCTGTAGCGTTGACGGAATTATTTAGGCGGGAGGTTGCTTTTATCGTACAAATTCAGTGATGCCCCCTGTAGTTCATGCAATCAATTAGGCTTGGCTCTCGAGTATGTGACGAAGGACTAGCGGTCCTCCGCAGCATTCCAGCATGTTCCTTATGAAAGTGCTGACTCTCGTCTCACTTACTATCACTCATCTGCGCTAGTACAGCGGAGCGGTAAAGGAACATGCCGATATGTTTATTGCACTTTATGATCACATGGCCCACATTACCAGTATTCTTTCTCCAGTTTACAAACTATTTCCATTGTTCTGTCTGAGCTGTGTTTTGAAAATGACTACTGATAACGCTCGCCATCATGTGATTTTAAGCGACTGTTTTCTCCGAGCGTGAACGTGCAAAATCTGGATGTGGCACTGCTGGAGGTAATACTATGGGAGTTATGTCGATGTCGATGTCGTCGTATCCACGCTCAGCGAATCAGTTTGCTCCACCACCTTTGCCGAATACGTTCAATACTTCTGGCGTATATTACAAGGAATCAAGGTAAAGGATTTGTATTGAGTGGTCGATATCTGTCTGCTAATATCATTTAAACTCCATTTGGTATTTTTTAGGAATGCAAACCAAACAGCTTTGATTTACGATTCTTCTGGAGTGGAATCGATGGCACCATCAGCTTTCTCAGACACTTCAAGAGGCTCGCGACGTATGCCGATGATTCCACCTGGATTGAGCACTCCTCGAAAGACTCGCCGATCCCTTCCATCTGCAGGACAACAGCTGATGACTATATCCTACAAAGGTAAGCACTTTAGGGTTAGGTAGCCTTCAGGTAGGAAGACGCTGCCTTTTGAAGGTCTTCATAACAAAACATTTTAGGAATTGATGGAGTGCCAGTAGTTGCGCATGTTCCTGTGTCTCAAGCAGGGTTGACGCTGAAGGAGTTCCGCCGGCACTTTTCCATTTCCTCTCATTCTAACGTGCAGTAAGTGATGAGCCGTGTTTACTGTAGCAAATGTGCGAACCATTTTATCTCCCTATGAAATTGCAGGTTCTTTTTCAAATCGACATGCGAGGATGGCTCTGCCCCGTATCAACTCCTCCTGGTGAACGACGATTCCGCCTATCTTCCCATATTTGAAGGAAGAATCACAGCCGAACTGAAAAAAATATCGCCGGAATAGGTAGATTGTAGCGGGGAGTGATAAAAAGTCTTAATAGAGTCCCTATTAGCTGCCCACTTAGTGGATCTCTGTTCAGTGCTACTTCTAGTGATTTTGTCCCGTGTCTTAAGTATAAACTAGGTCAAATTTGTTAACTGAAAAAGCTCATTTGTTGTATTTGCATGCCTCAATCGCTTGCCTAACGAACGCTTGCACTTACCTGACTACTTGCCGCTCTTTTATGCATTAATTAGTTATATATGTATGAGTGCCTGTGCTGCCATGAGCATCGTATGTCGATTTACTCGTATATTCTACTCGATTTTGGGCAGCTTCGATACTCAACCTGAACAATTTCTCTTTCAATTCTTATCACGTGTATACCTCCTCCCTTATCCGAGTGGTTTTCTATTATGACGACGGTTTCGCTCCCTATTTTTCCCTGCTCATGAATCCACAGCTCAAGTGCCAAACGTTGCGTTTAAAATGCATTATCATCGAATGATAAAGTATTTATTCTTAAGTACGGTTAGCTAGTGGTTGAGTTATTACTTGCTGTCCTATTTAGGTGCTTTCCTCAATAAAGGGGTTGGAAGGTGTTCTACAGAAAGACAATATTCTCTTGGTGTTGCTTGAATTTCCGAGTAAGCTTCAAGCCTGTCGATCGATTTGTCTCTACTCTCCAAAATCGCGCGCTTTAACCCGATTCTTTCATTGCGTCGCCTGATACGTAGCCGCCCAACTTCTTTCCATGCCTCGCCTTTGGCTCCGCCCGAATTACCTTCGATTGTCCATAGAGTGTAGTTTTTGTACGTTTGTTTCTCTTCGGAAACCGAATCTTCATGCGTGAAACTTTGTGTGCTGTTTCCAGTGATCACATTCATGTTAGAAAGAGTGCAAGAATTTTCCGCGAAAGATTCCTTTAAGCCTTACTCATTTTGTAATTCGGCTGTCCCAATGCGATGAGGCACAGAGCACGAAAAATAAGATGCGGAGAGAACACAACACATGAGACGCCAGCATGCGCGGATGAGAAAAAATGACAGGGCAGCGTTTAGAGTTGGCGATCGTGCATGCGATTTCGGCTAATGTAAGAAGAAAGTGTATGTATCGATTAGGCGAACAAGCTATTCGGCGAGCAAGCGAGTAGGCGATTAGAGAGGGGTAAGTGTTGATTTGTTGCTCCGCGCATTGAGCGATCGCCGACTCTGAACGCTGCTCGAGAGGTCGGGGCGGTCTTTGCAGGACGCTTATTGCTCACTTCAGAGGGGGAAGGGCAACGGACATTTGCCACCATCGTGCTATCCTCTCCTGTAAGGTGTAGAATTATGGCATAAAAAGAGAATTGGAGGTGCATGTTCAACTGTTTGTCAGCCAATTATGCGAACGAAAAAAGTATGATTGGCACACAATTGTACTGCGCTCGCATAACTGGCGAAAATCATAGATCTTGCAGGTATACCCTGTAAAATGTTAGAGCCAGAAAGAGTCCTCGGGATGTCTATAAATACAAATCCCGAAAAAAGCGTGCATGCACGAGAAAAATGGATCACACAGGTGCGACACACATGCGAGCCACCGTGTCCCACGCGGCCTGCAACGCGCTCCTTAACACAATAATCTGTAATCTCCTCAACGCGAGTCACGACTTTGTCAGTGCTGAAAGCTATCGAACCACGTCGAACTCTGCGAAGCGGCTATTGAATGGGTGTGTGGTGTGGGAGTCCTAGCCATAGGCCTTTCAGGTCAGTCAGCCCACAGCCTTGGGTCTTCCAGTAAAATGAGTCAAATAAAGTTGCTTTATGGGTAATTAATGAGTTGTTTTGTGAGTGAATTACATGAACAGCTGCTGAGCGTATTTCACGAACGTGATCGCCGCAGTAATCTAAACATTTCACAAAGCATCAATGTGTTGCACTTACCGATTCAAGCCTATAAGGGCACATTACACAACTATAAAGGCCTGCGCTAGGCTTAAAGAAGAATTATTTAAAGGAATCTTGCGCGGAAAATTCTTGCACTCTTTCCTAACATGAATATGTCAGTTGTGATCACTGGAAATAGCACACAAAGTTTCACGCATGAAGATTCGGTTTCTGAAGAGAAACAAACGTACAAAAACTACACGTTATGGACCATCGAAGGACCAGGAGGCAGAGCCAGGCGAGGCATGGAAAGAAGACGGCGTTTGGCCGGCTACGTACCAGGCGACGCAATGAGAGAATCGGGCGTATATACACATTGCGGACCGCCCTTATACGAGCATCTCCATACCTTTTTCATGTTTTTGAAAAATGAATCATCATTAGTCTGTCAAAAATTTTATCAGTGATGATACTTATGCTTTCCTGGTTCTCCGAAAATGAGTGCAAGCACTTAAGGAGCATTGAAAAATGCCAAATAAATTAGGTAAAAACGATGATTCACTCCAAGCGTGCCCACATCGGCGCGGCACAGAGAATCCAATTTAAAGCGCGCGATTTCGGAGAGTGGAGACAAATCGATCGATGGAATAGGATGGAGTAGAAGTGTAAGATGTGAATGCAACGAAGCAGAAGGCCAGAAAGAGCTTCTAGTGAATGCACTCCAAGAACCAAGTTTGAGCATCCCCGTCGCCAGCATTCGTGAAAGACGTCCGTGGGCAATTCGAACGCGTAGCAGCCTTTTCGAGTTTTCGAATTTCTAATCAAAACGAAAGCAATACTTCAGTTCTTTTCACTATTATCGTGGATAATGAGTCTCAAGCCAGTGATTTATGGCTGAAATAGAATCATGATTTTTCCGCGCAAGATTCCTTTAAGATCTTTCAAAAAAGTGGTTACGATTGAATACAATTGTACACGTGACAAAAAAAAAAAAATAAAAAAATATTGGAAAACGAGACTGCTAAAGGCACTATCAACAGAGCCTTCTTTCTGCAATCCTTCATGAACATTGTGCGAGTTTATGGAGACTCTAGCACCGGGACGTCCACGGAACGAGCTTAGAAACAGAGCAAGGCGCAGAGTACTCCATGCTTGATTTTAAAGCTGCGCGTTTTACAGCGCCCGCGCGCTAAATTTCGTTCATCGAAGACAGCCATACGTTTGCGAATAAACCTATATTAATTTATGCACGTAAAGGGTCCATCTCTTGTGGAACAGTGAATGGCTGCGAGTGTCCACCTCTCTAAGACCTCAAAGATGCGACGAGAAAACTTTGAAGCCTAAACAATGAGAACTAACTATCAGAGCCACCACAGCCCGCCAGCGGCTCCAAGCAAATATAACGCAGACCGGATGCTGAAGTTTTACAGCCTTTCGTTCACCGTCGGTATCTCTAACCCGCACGTTAGGGGTGTAACTGTCTATAAGTTGTTGTTACACTATGAAAAGCTGAGATAGAGAACAAATCTCCTGTGGAGAGCCGTAACTTGTAGCGACTTTGCCCGGTAAGCGGTGATCGCGATGCTCCTACCTGGGGCGAAGTAGCATCGTTTTCTTCTTTTCTCGTTTTATATTCAAGTGAAACAAACAGCGTGAGGTCACAATACTGCAGGACATTGGCGACACCTGACTCTTTCCAATGCCAAAAATGACACGGGCGGGCGCGAGGGCGCGCCGGCCGGGCGGCGTAACAGTGATGACACACACCTGCTTCACCGGGCCCCTTTCCCGCTGATCATCGAGTTGCCCGAGTAGCGGTTCAGAAATCTGTCGCTGTCTGAATGCTCCAGTAGTCCTCTTCTCTTCGAGCACACTAGCCATCTAAATAGCTTTTTGAAGAATATGCAATCACCAAAACCCACATTCGTCGGCTGCGGTTCGATGGCTTGTGGACTATGACGGAAATTCTTTAGTGCTATCTTTCGACCGGAGTAAGACACGAAGAACATCCGGCTCCGTGCCCACCTCTTCGATTCCGCTGTCCTTCCTGCCCTAACCTACGCCTCAGAGACTTGGACTCTGCGCAGGCAGGACGAGCATGCGGTCAGCGTTATCCAACGCGCTGTCGAGAGGACGATGCTAGGAGTAACCCTATACACGCAAGTGCAGAGGGGAATCCGGAGTTCGGAACTACGCCAACGATCGAAGATCAGGGACGCTGCCGTTTTCGCCAAGGAATCGAAGATAAGGTGGGCCGGACACGTCATGCGATTTTGCGATGACCGTTGGACCAGAGCGGTTACCGACTGGATCCCTCGGGACGTCAAACGAACACCTGGACGACCGCCGGCCCGATGGTCAGACTTCTTCACGAAAGCTCTGAACGAAAGGAATGATGGACTTCGTGTCCCTCGAGCAAGGAGGATCCACTGGACCACTCTAGCACGCGACAGGGACGAATGGAGACGTTGCTGGCACCCGCTCGAGCAAATCTGTCAACGTGTTCCTGTAACACAAAAATCATAATCTTCCTCAACGTGATTCACGCCGCCGTTGTCAAGGTTGAGGCGAAGTACGTCAGGAATCGGGGAGACCATGATGAGTTGGAGGGTGATTGTGGAAGTCGCTAGCCATAGGCCTTTTCAGGGTCGTACAGACAGCCCCTTGGGTCTTCCAGTAAAATGAGTCAAATAAAGTTGCTTTATGGTAATTAGATGATTGTTTGATGTGAATTACTTTATGAACAGCTGCTGAGCGTATTTCACGAACGGGATCGCCGCAGTAATCTAAACATTTCAGAAAGCATCGAAGTGTTGCACTTACCGATTCAAGCCTATAAGGGCATATTACACAACTATAAAATGCTGCGCTAGGGCTTTAAAGGAAGGACTTATTCAGAACCCGTCAGATTTTTTTTTTCTCAATAATACTGTGAGGTGGGCAATTTGAAACAATTGGCGTACCACGTGATAAAATATTGGGAAAAGAAGAGCCTGCTAAAGCACTTTCAACGACAGCCTTCTTTCTGCAATCCTTTATGACAGTTGCGCGATGTTTGAGTGGAGACTACTTAGAAGCGGACGATTGTGAGCAAACGTCGAGTAGACGGAACGAGCTTATTGTTAGAAACGAGCATAGCGCAAGAGCTCCGTTCCATGCTGGATTTCTAATGCTGGTTTTAATAAGCCCTCGCCTATAAGTTTATTCGAATACGGCGCCATGCGTTTGCGAATAAACTATCTCAATTGATCACGTTTATAAAGGTCCATCTCTTGTAGCGTAATATGTAATAGGCTGTCGAGTGTTCACCTCCTGACCTCAAAGATACGACGAGTAAACATTTGAAGTCCTAACAAAATTTACGCTATTCAGAGCACCACAACCTCGCAGTGGCTCCAAGAAATATCACGCAGCCGAATGCTGAAGTTTCAGCCTGTGCGGTCACCGCCTGATGTCGCGAATAACCGGCTCACACGTTATGCGTGGAACTCTTGAATAAGTTGTGTAAAACACATTAAAAAGCTGAGGATAGGGCGAAACGATCTCCCTTTGAGTAGCGTAACTTGTAGCAATTGCTGGTAAGCGGGGGTGGCTGCGGGGATTTCCTATCTGTGGACGGCAGAGGTTTTTCTTTGCAAACCAGCCTCTTTGGATAGCACTGAGTTTTTTTCTCTCGTTTTGTTTGATTCAGGGGAAAATGAAACGGTTAGGCGGGCGCTGATGTTAGTCATGGGGCACTTCAGAATAGTGCTTCAGCATACCTGAACCTATTTAGGAATTGCTAAAACTCTGGACGTGAGCGGTCCACAAACTGGCAGGAACATTGGGACACCCTGACACTTTCCAATGCCAAAATGACCATGAGTATAGTGATGACACATCACCTGCTTCACCTGCCCTTTCCCGCTGATCATCGAGTTGCCTGAGTAGACGTCCAGAAAGATCGCAAGATTGCAACGTCCCTGTCGCCTGTCTGAGAGCTCCAGTAAGTTCCTCTTCGTTCGAAGCACACTAGCATCTAATAGCTTTCTTGAAGAAGTATGATCACCAAACCCACATTCGTCTTGCAGGTTTGTAGGGCTTGTGGACACTCGACAGGGAAGTTGTTGCTATTCTCGTGGAGTAGTGAAGAAGACGAAGAACATCCGGCTCCGTGCCCACCTCTTCGATTCCGCTGTCCTTCCTGCCCTAACCTACGCCTCAGAGACTTGGACTCTGCGCAGGCAGGACGAGCATGCGGTCAGCGTTATCCAACGCGCTGTCGAGAGGACGATGCTAGGAGTAACCCTATACACGCAAGTGCAGAGGGGAATCCGGAGTTCCGAACTACGCCAACGATCGAAGATCAGGGACGCTGCCGTTTTCGCCAAGGAATCGAAGATAAGGTGGGCCGGACACGTCATGCGATTTTGCGATGACCGTTGGACCAGAGCGGTTACCGACTGGATCCCTCGGGACGTCAAACGAACACCTGGACGACCGCCGGCCCGATGGTCAGACTTCTTCACGAAAGCTCTGAACGAAAGGAATGAACGGCTTGTCCCTCGAGCGAAGGAGGATCCACTGGACCACTCTAGCACGCGACAGGGACGAATGGAGACGTTGCTGGCGCCCGCTCGAGCAATTCGATGATCAACGGGACGACAGGTGATACAGGTGATCTTTCGGACTGCCACTTTCTCTATAACGGGCTGGGCAAGCTTTTCTATTGCAACAAATCTAGGAACGCTTTTGAGTATCAACCCTGAAGAGCAGTCGTGGAACCGGTGCAAGGATATGAAGCGAATATTCGACTCCCACAACCTTCTGAGAAGTCGGTTTCTCGTGCGACCTTCATCAGTATTTAACTTTTCTTTCGTTCCACTAACCTCCATTGAGTATCCGAATAGCAAAACTTTTCGATGAATTCTAATTGTATCATATAAAAATTTGAGGCTCGCATTTGAAGAACTCATTCAAATCCTCCAAGGTGATTTTTCTGAAATATTTTTACTGGGCTGATGTTTGATAGTTTATTTTTCACTTTGTTCTCTTGTATTTATTACCGTCCAGTGGGTCTTCGGACTGCTGTCCTTCTGATCGTTGACAGTATTCGCTGGAAAAGCTTCGGGACTAGATCAGTAATTTCTTCCGTAGGTAAAAGCTCTGTTTGTGAAGGTCACTGATGCACCGTCGACATGGCTGGGAGGAATGCGACAATTGCGCTAGGGTCTTATAAGTGCCCCCTCCCCTCCCCCCATTGGTGGTCGCTTACGGTGGTGAATCTTTCGCTATGCCGCGACCACTTGTCAGTGCCCTCTCATACGGCCTGCTCTCTCCTGCATTCTGTCTTCTCTGTACGCTCTGCCTCTCACGCAACCTTAGGAAACTTCAAGCCCCGTAATTTTAGTGTTTTCGATGAGGTTTGCTTGAACTATGCGTTGTTTTGGCGCCATTGGAGGTGTTAGTGAATAAATAAACAAATAGATAAATAAATTAAATAGAGCTGACGAGTTTTGAAAGCAATAAAATCTGCTAACAACACCTTTATTTGCAATCGTATCGATGAAGCCAAGAATGAGACACGAAGAGTCGGCATATGGGAGAATGGATGGTACGAGGGTAGATGTGGGTAGGAGGGAGGAGTAAGCGCTGGTAAATGGGGCCGATTCTCTGCCCAATACGGGCGGCTACAATCATAAACTATGAAAATCCATGAACACAAATCAAACGGAAGGAATCACACACGTGTCGCGACGGGCCGCAAAGGCCTCACAGAGCATCATCACAAAGCTGGCACGAGATATGCGTTATCAAGTGACGACGATCTCTTCCCGAACTGTAACGGCCGATAATCCCGTTTGCCGAATTGTAAAGGTCGATATCCGTCTCGTTTACCGAACTGAAAATAAATTCTCCATTAGCGGTAAATGATTTTGATGAGCACGGTAGAGAAGAGAGGATTCCCCAGGAAAAGTTTTCTATGGTCACTATGTGAAATGAAAGCTACTTTTGGGAAATGGATTTCTATGAAAGGAGACGAAACTCGAGAGTTAAGAATTGTTTTTTGTTATTTTCATGACGGCAGGTAACAAGCTCGTATGTGGATTGGATCCCGTTCAGACTAAGGCCGATGTCAGACTTGGCGAATCGCGCGATTCG